TACTCTTACTCTTTATTTATTATAGTTTGAGGTGTACCACTCTCTTGTAGATAGATGCTTAAGTTTCCTGAGTATGATGCAAGGAAAGAAAAAAATACAATTTTAATAATTAAATAAAACAAATCTCTAATAAGTAAGGATATTTATATTCTATTTAATGGTTGATTTGATTTGATTTAAATTGATTCAATTTAAATTGGTTCAATTCAATTAAAAATTGATCTAAATTAATATAAAATTGAGTTAATTTAAATTATAAAATTTTAAAATCGATATAATTGATTTGGTTTATAATTTTATCTTTAAATTACCTGAATTGTCCGATTACAAAATAAAATTTGATTACAAAATAACTTAATTAAATAATATAATATAATTTTTTGTAATATTTTAAAATTTCTTTTTTTTTTATATTACAAGATAATAACTTCATTAATTTAATTAAAAAACAAAAATAAAACATTTTCATATTCCTTAAGTTATTTTTTCATTTGAATCATGCACCCTAACCTTAATTTTAAAATTTTATTTAAAATTTTTATCTTTTTTATCATTATTTTTCATATATGTATATATATATTTCTGAATTAATTTTTTTTTTAAAAAAATATTATAACCCTCTCAGTAAAAATTTAAACCTTCATATAAAATAAAATATATAGTGTACATTAGCAGTCCAGCAGGGCTGCTAGTGCGTTACTCTTCATGTATACGTATCTTATCCACACCCACCAATTTCATTCAACCATAATGCCATCTGTCTGTTTGTGGTTCACACATTTCCAGCAACAAAAGATACTTTTAACTTCTTCCCATTACAAAAAAAAAAAAGAAAAAGGAAGAAGAAGATATTTTTAACTTCTCTATGTTACATGCTGTAAAGTTTAAACTATATTATTATTACCTACAGTTTAAAATTCCTTTCATTAGCTTCACAAATTTTTTCAAGCAGTGGTGGGACCTGGAAGAGCTGTTGGTGAAGTACAATTGGAGGTACATTATAATTTCATATGGTCATCCTTATCTTCATCTGCTTTGAAAACCCCCATTAAAATAATCTGTTACTTCAATCAACCTATTCTATGACAATTATTTTGAGACTAAGAAAGCAACATCTGTACCAACCAGATTTTAATTGATTTAGTGCTTTATTATTCTCCTTTCGTGCGTTTTACCTACCGTTGAATGTAGGAAGAGATTCATTACGGTCAAACTTTCAAAAACATAATTTAAATTGTATTTGACTATATAAAACTAAAGCTTTATTTGTTAGTTTGTGACATAGTTATATTTTTAAATTTGTTGGCCTTTAATCTCATACTAAAAAATAATAATTAAAATAAAAATAATCAAGTTATTTTATTAGTTAATGTGATAGATTAGCACAAATTTAACGAAGAAATAAAAAATAAATAGATTTTAAACTTT